GGCCTCCTAAGGCCTAAATGATGGGGCAGCCGTGGGATGCTTTTTCAAACAGCATTTGCTGCTGCAGGGGAAAGCATTTACTCCTGACAACCTGTTAACCATGCATCCCTGTCCCTTGTTCTACAGGGTTCACTGCAGCCCAAGCATTCTTGATTAAAGACCTACTAGCACCTACAACAGTATAAAAAGGATGAAATCCCTTAGCACCTACAACAGTATAAAAAGGATGAAATCCCTTCTGGAGAAAAATGGGTCTGCCTTTTCCTCTTTTGTTCTTCCACCAAGTGGCCTCTTCCCTCTGGAGCTTATTGAAACAGCTAAGGCAAATGCCAGCTCAGCCAGGCTCTAAATCCAAAGTCTGTTAAAGTCAGTGGAAAGTCTTCTGCCAGCTCCAGAACAGTTTTGGATCACATGTCAAGGCACAGAATCGACGGTGATATTGTCACAGAGCAGGAGCGAGGCACCGAGCGCCTGCTCAGAGAGAGGAGGGGTAACCCCCAAGTGGATGGTGCTGCAATCCTCAAACGCCCAGCCCAGGACAGGGCCCTGTGGTGCCAGGCTCCGCACAGACACGGACCGTCCTCGCCCTGTGCACCTAACAGGTTGTTCGGAGACAAGGGCATGAAATACAGCTTTAGCCCTACCATGTCCTGTGATCTGCTCACTTTCTGCCTGTGTTCTCAGCTGTTAATTGCTGTAATCTGGATTCCAGCTGCCCGTGCTATGCCAGAGAAAAGCCAAGCTTGAGATAACTAGGCATTGACAGCTCTGTAAACTCAGCTACGGTCCCATTCATCCATGCAGCGGGCCCTGATGGAAGTGTCAAACATCCTCAGACTTGCCCTCTTGAGAAGTCCACCCAGAACTTGTGCTTAGTCCAGACTTATGGACAACGTGGACAGCAAGTGAGCTCAGCCAGAGCTACAGTATGATGATTCAAAACCAGACCAGAGCATGGAGGGAGGCCATGTACAGTGTGAGTGCAAGCTCCCAGCTAGCTAGTGCCACAGTACTTCCTGACCTGCGCTGGCTGCAACGCAACCTTTTTTCCTTGCGGCAAACTGGGGAACAAGAAGAGGACTGTTAGAAGAAGCGAAGAAAAAAAGGTTCAAGAAAAAAATTCTCCAGCAAGATAAGTTCAAAGCATCCCACCTTGTTGGACCGGCCTTGTGAGTGACTAAAGGGGGCTCCCCAGACTGTCTGGGCACTGGAATGTCAAACTGCAGTTGTTTTCTTAATAAACTGGACTGTTAAAAACAGGCTCAAATGCTTGAGCTGTCAGTAATTGGCTTGAAAACTCAGACCGCATTTGAGCTCTCTGGTTGCCTCTGCTGAATAAGAGCCTCCTTCCTCTGAATTAGGAAAAAAAATAAGGAATGAATGTCTGGCTGCCACAGCCAGCTCTTGATTTGCTGGATTTAGCATTAAATGCTGAGTCTCAAGACTGCAATTGGGATTCTGGAATGTTAAAATCAGCAAACTTTTCCCCCACTCTGTCGCTCAGCGGTCTTCCAGCAAGAGAAATCAAGGTAATGAACTGATAAAAGTAAGGGATTGAATTCACAACAGGAGCTTCGCGCTCACCGGCTGTCCTGTTAGTTGATCTCAAGGCAGACATGGGAAAGAGAGAAGAAAATGGATCTTACAGCACAGGGAAGGTTTGGAATCCATCCCCTGTGCTGCCAGCCATCTGCCAGCAATTTATGTAGCACAAGTTCACAAAAGAGAGATAGCTCTGGCAACAGAGCCAGAGTCTGGGCCCAGACTTTGACACTGTTCCTAAAGGCTGCAGCATTGCCAGCCTCAAAAGTCTGAGGCTCAGGCTCCTGTTCTTACCAGATCCCCTGCAAACCCTGAGCTTAGAGCCCAGAGTTACAATGTCTAGCTTTACTTCCAATGAAAACATTTTAAACATTAATCTTAACTCGATTAACTGGAAACTTGAAGAATACTAAAAAATGCAACTCTCCCAATGACCCACTCAATACACATTGGATTTACCTGTAGCCATCCTCCTTTCTGGCTTACGTCCCCGTGTTGCTTCGGTACTGCAGATGGGCAAGTTCTGATGTAATCAGCTATATTCATCTAAGAACACAACCTACTCACTTATACGGCAAATACCTGAGCCTGCAAACTTGAGCCTTGTTTTCTGTAAGCCTTGGAGCAAGCAAAGCTCAGCACTGAAGTGACAAGACAGGACACCTGAACCCTGCCGTGCTCTGACATTCTTCTTGTATTTGTCCAGCTTTTGCCTTCTGAGCCCCTACAGCTTCCCAAGCCAGCCCAGCGCACAGGCAATCTCTGCATTCCAGGCATACTTTGAAGGATGCTGAGGGCTGCAGTACTGGCTCTGGAATCCAGCTCCATCCTTTTTTACGACACAGCATTGATTTCCCTGGTCCAGGGAGTAAATCCGCCTTGCTAGACCTTCCTGGGAGCCCTGCTTTATTCTTGATACAACCCCGAGCAGTTCCTCTCGGGCAGATCTCTTTTGTCATCTCTTGCTGTTCTGGAGAGGAACTGTGCTCTGTATCACAACATACTTCCAATCCTAAGGCCAGGATCTCAACATAGGGTTTCCCTAGAGTGTCAGTGCTCCCCACAGAGTTCTTGTCCCTAAGGATGTGTAGCTGAGCCTAAGATGAGGAGTTTTTGAGTGAGGAAGCCTATTCAAAAGTACATTAGAAACATGGATTTCTATCCTGTCCCAACTACCTCCAGAGTAACAAAGATCACTGCCTCCTCTGACACTTCCCATGTCAGTGCCACTGGTTCCAGTGTTTTCGCACTACTCTGCTGCTAGTAAGCAGGTGTCAGTCTCGCTTTGCTTCAGGTCCTCTCCTTTCAAACCACACCGACGTTTCCAGTCCCTAACATCCATTGTCCTTTCCACAGACAACACAACAAGGCATAGTAGAAAACCCAGTTACATCAGGGCTTGCCTTACTCAAATCCATGAGTGACCTCAAAATGAAATCTCCTTTCTCCTCCCTCGATTTCCCCACATTGCACTCCCAATCACAGGCAGAGAGGCTGAAGCACCGGCAGAGACTGTTTTCAAGGGAGGCCAAGGCTCCCTTGCAGGAACACAGCACAGGGATATCTTCGCTTTTGTTAACAAACGCTGCGATCAGCCAAACAGCAGCAGCAGAACAGTCATGTCTAAGCAGCAAGAAAGCTCAAAGCACCTGCTTGTTTGGGAACAACTAGCCTGGAAGGCCAAGGCTCCTGCCTTCCTGCCTACGAGAAAGGAAGAGAACAGCTGCAAGGAGCAGGCTCCATTGCAGTTCTGGCTGTTGCTGGGGGAAAGGAAGCCAGAAAGAGGGGAACTCCCTTGTGAAGAGTTAGTTCTGGCTCCTAGCATTAGCAACGTGAGCTGGAATTAGGGAGACTCCCATGTAATGAATCTTCTCCGGCTGCCAACGGTGAGCAAAGGAGCTTGGAATGAGTGACCTCCCTGTGCAATGAGGTAACACCACCTCCTAACGAGGAAGGGCGGGAGATGCCTTCTAGAAGGAGCGAGAACCTGCCAGGAGGATATATAAAATAGGGCATTTCCCTGCCAGAACAACAGAGCATACAGGAGCTCTCATTAAATCATTAAAGCAGGGCATGCTGCCAAACTGCCCATAGCTCTTTCAGAAATCAGGCCCCACCTTGCAGGCGATTCCAGAAACATGCCGTCTCTGACGGAGTCAGCCCCATCTTGTTCTTTTCCTCCCAGCCCTGTCTGTGTATCTGTCAGGGCACAGTACCTGCGGTGAAAATCTGTGCAGCTACTGCCAGAAAGGCGTCCGTGACCACCGTTTCCGAGTGCAGTGAGATGTTCAGTTGGCGGGCGATATTCCGGTAGACGTTGGGGCGGATGTACTCCAGCTCATCCCCTGGAAACCAACAGTTGGGAGTCAACACGCAGAACATCATGCGCTGCTCTAACCATGCAGGAATGGCAGCTGGGGCCACCCCATGTGCCCTTCCAGCCACAGAGACTTATCCCCACCTCCACTTTATTTTTAAAAGGCAACAAGAGCGCATACGGTAATTTAGATGTAACCCCCCTGGCACCTGCTCTCTTGTTTCCTAATAGCCCTTGTGCCCAGGACTTCTGAAGGGAAAGGGGACAGGCAGGGGACCTGGACTGTTGGTCTGGCTGCAGTAATCTCTGATACAGATTACGTTCCCAGGCCAGTTGCAGAAGTCAGAGTCTAGCCAGTGCCTGCCTTTAGTCCACAAGAGACTGGCCTGAGATAAATAAAGTCACCTCAGTCTTTATCATAAGTGAAAAGCGGGCATGTGCATCTATGCATGCTTTAGTGAGATTCAACTGCTTTCAACACCAAGATTTCTACAAAAAAAACCTTAAGATGTGAGACTCAAGCATCCTGCAGCCTGATGAAAGCCAAGAACCCACCCAGAGCTGCACAATATTGATGGAACAAAGACTATCGGTTCAGCTACTTCACACTAAAACAGGCTCAGAGTGAAGACCTGGAGTTCCTTCTCTCCTCCAAATGGTTAAATGCATGTTCATTTGCCTGGATGACTCCTCAGCAACAAGGTTCCTGACACACACCAACATGTGCTTTCACCTCCAGGTGGTTTTCTCCCCAGCTGGGAAACGGTTGGAGGTGTTAGGTTAGCTTGAAGACCAAGATGGAAATACCAAGGACAAGCAGAGAATCCCCTCCCCCTCTAGGTTTGTGCTCTGGAGCTTGGGCATCAGCAGGAAAGCTTTCCTCTCAGAGCAAAACCAATAATTTTTGAGCAGTAACATTATTAAAGCCTGTTTTTCAGTGAATTTGTTTCTCTAGTGAGACTCCTTACAGGGCTTCACAGATATTTATTGAGGGCTGCGCACAGGCAAGAGATTTTCCTCTGTTGGGAACATAAATTAGGTCTTTTTCCTTTATTAAGTACTCGTTTTCGGAGGAGGATCTTCACTTCTGTCAGTTTGGCTAAAATAGATTCAAAGTTATCATGCAGATACATCCTCTGCACATACATCCTCTGAAACGTAGGGCTAAAATATCAGTGAGCAGTGCTGTAGGAGCACTGCAGAATTCCCACTGCATTGGATCAAGGCTCTTTGTACACGGAGGTCCCCACTTGCTCATTTAGATGGAAACTTCTCGTCCTTCTACTGCACGCGAGTGCTCTGGGACAGCCAGGGGAAGAGGAGAGCTGTCAAAACATCTTTAGACCCCACTGCAAGACCCTGATGACTTGCCCCAGTCGGAGGGTGCCAGATCCTCCTGAAAATGTCATGTTATCATTTACATAGGAACCAAAAGGGAGGAGGTCATCCAAATCATGAGTTTGTTATAGAGCCGCTAGCTACTGAATCTTAAGCCTTTAAATTGGTCACTGGCACTCAGCGAAAAAAAATGGACAAACCTCAATTTTACAGAATTCCACAAATAAAGCGTTCTGGCCATTTGTACGTGCAGGATTGCACCACACAATCTGACTGCAAGAGGAAACCCTGCAGATGCATGGGCAGCCCTGATAAGAGGGAGCATTACTTACACTCCTCAACAGCTCTTCTCGCCCCACAGGAAACACAGGCTTCCCCACAAAAAAAAAGGGATAGCCTTGCCCTCGGTTAGCCGAGAAGGATGTATGGGAAGCAGGAGGGTGCTGCGATCAAGAGCTAGTAGCCTGCCACAGGCACAGCTTGTAACAAGCAGCACCTGAAGGCCTCAGATGAGATCAGGGCCCAGTTTTGGTTGGAGGCACACATGCCAGTAAAACAGGCCCTGCCCTGCAGCAATAGACAATGCAGACAAGAACAGAGTGGGAACAAAAAACACAGCAAAGAAGCTCCAGGGTTACTCAGATTCCCTACCACGGAGGCCACAGGACTTTTCCAGCAGCACATGATCCTGGTGGCACCCTTCTGTCTCCGTGTTCAGGTGTCTCATTGCACACTGCAACATTTTGAGCGATTTGCGTGCTTCTCCTCCTTCTTCCACCCATACTCACGGAGGGCAGCAGTGACAGTTTCCATATGCAGGAACTCAGTGCGGAGGTGAAAGAGCACTTGTCCAGGCCTTGGCCATAGGAGAGACAAGTTCAGATAAAATAGACCTATGGCCCATGTGGCAGGTTAGTCTGAGGTGTCTCATTTGGCCACACCATTAGGTTTTACCATCTCTGACTAGCTAATTCCACTAATTAGTGCCAAGCCTCGCTGGGCTGGAGGGCTCTCACTCCCCCAGGCCTCGCAATTGCATTTCCTGAGCCCAGGAACCCTTTAACCCCACCAGCCAGTTCACCACTGCCATGGCATACACAAGAGGACTAGGAAATACCCCCACTTCTCATCTCCCCAGGGTTCTCAGAAGAACCATCACGGGGCAAGAACTGGTTTGGCTTGTTGCACTGCTTTGTAAGACTACAGTTCCTGGCAGGTGACCGGATACCACATTGCCTTGTATTAGTTATGGCAACAACAGGGAAAAGAAAGGAGCAAGCCATGTGGCAGGGGGTGGTTACGAACAAATGGGATGGAAATAACTCTCTGTTCTCATAGGAAGGACTGTTCCCTCTTCTTGTTGCACGGGTACCATGGTTCTCTCCAAACAGATTTGTTCAGAGAAGGAGCCAAGTGACTAGGACTATCAGCCAAATCTTTCCATCTGGACATGAGTAAGTAACAGGAAAGTCATCCATAAGACGCCTTCAGATCCAGGTTGCCACCTGCTTGCCCTTTAACATGCTCCTGGCCACCCGCAGAAGATCTGGTTGAAGGCAATCAAATCTCAGCCGCTAAGTCAGGTAGAGAAGAAATGGAGGGCCAAAGAGACAGTGTGAATGGCGGTGAGATTGAGAGAAGAACAGAAAACAAAGACCAAAAAAGCCATGGGACCAAAATAGGAGAGAAAAAAAAAGAAAACAAAAAAAGGAGTCAGCACAGGGGAGAAAAGGGGAAAAGAATGAGAAGTCAGTCAAAAGAAAAAAAAAGCTATGCCTTAAAAAAAAAAAAAAGAAATTTGAAATTTGAGATAACATCAAACAGAAGTAGAAAGAAAGGGGTTTTTTTTTAAAGAGTGGGAAGATCAGCCTGGTCCTGAGCTGGTTAGGCCCAGTTCAGTTTTGCTTCAACAGATTTATTTGAACTTTGGTGTAATTAAATTAGATGCAAATATTAATTGTCGTTTCCAAGTCAGACATGAACTAATATTCCAGCCTGCAGGCAAAAAGGGATGTTGGAATCAACCTCCAAGATTGAGGGCACTAGGATCCCAAAAGATAAATGGCTTTACTTGAGTACAGGGGAGGCTAGGACCTAAAAAAAAAAAAAGGTAAAAAATTCGAGGCAACTGTCAGCACCTAGAAGGTGCTCAGGGTACAAGCACAATTCCAGGCAATGTCATCACGCACCACCTGGGCCCAGCACACTCTACAGGACTCCTCAAAAACTGCTCTCTCTGCAGCAGCATCTTGGCAATGAGAGTGGCTAGCTAAAGTTTGGGCACTGAATGGCAGCATGGGTCAGCCAGTATCAGCCAGCTCCTCCGCACTTCCACATCCAAAGTATGCCCACTGCATAAGCCCCCCAGGTCCTGCCAAGGCAGTCTTCCAGGCATTTGTTAGGTATCATGACTGAACAAGTCACTGCCAGGCCTTTTCCGTTTGTGCCTAGATGGGCATCCTTTTCTTCCTGCACAAAAACACCTAGGTGATGTTAGCTTTATGCAAAGGTCCCTGTACTAAAGATCTGCCACATGTGTACGGCTACCCCAAGCACAGAAGATTTAACAGTTGCCTCAGTGACAAATGGGGCAATGAATGATTCAGGTAGGCAAAGACAGATTAAATACAGTGCACTCACTGAAAAACAGCTTTTACAAAATCTCTGGTACACGTGGTCTAAGCAGCTCCCTCCAAACTAAACATCCTTGCAGTCGGGCAAGCAACTAACTATGTGAGCAGCTGATGAAGCCAGAGTCTAGAGCTAGGAGTACTCTACCAGACACCAAATTGGGCTGTGTCACAGCAGCCAATTGACCTGTGTCTTGGAGAAAACACTGCAAGACCCGTTAAAACGCCAAGCTGAGAAAAACTATTGAATGAACTAAAACTCTTACACAGCTGGAGTCTTATGCAACTCCAAAAAAACCTTAGCTTGTTGTTGGTTTTTTATTGAGCAGAATCATGCCTTTAAGTTGTTGCAAGTTCTTGGAGAAAGAAGCTCTGCAGAATCACTGGGCTGAGCAACGCTCCAAGGGCCTACAGAGACACAGGTAAAGGAGTTGTTCAGGGAAGATCGCCAAGAATAAATTCAAATGCGTACAGCAGAGAACAAAAGTCTTGATCTCATCACAGGAAAAACCTCTTGGCACCTAACATTTGCAGAGATCATGGGGCCCTTCCTAGCCTGGTCTGAACTGCTCCAGATCAGACTCACAGTTCCTGTTCATACCCACAGGGACTTACCTAGTCGCAGCAGTATGGTGGACACCTCAGCCAGCTTACCACCAGGCACTGGTGCGTTGTACTCAGGTTTGCTCCAGCTGACACCTGCTCGAATCAGCCTGGAATTTATGTAGTCCCTGCAGAGAGCCTTGGCCTGGGACACAAGCTCCTTATCAGTGGGAGACCGGTCAAAAACCTCCATCACCTCCGCAGCAAAGACTGAGGAACGGCGTAGCACTTCCATCCTTGGCTGCTGAGCACATCAGCGTGCACTTGCCAGAAGGCTGCCCCAGTGCCTTAGACAAGACTCTGCAGGTGCCGTTTAGTAATCCACTGGTCTCTTGATCTCTCACAGCTTCCAGCAGCTATTCTCAAAAGGCTAGTCTTTCATTTTACCTGGTGAATTACAGCATCTATAAGTCCACTAGGGTTACAAAGGCATAACCCAGAAGCCCAGCCATTACACCTTACAGTGACACTGAAGTCAGTAGTATCATATTTACTAAACATCTGTCTCAGTGCATCTTACAGACAAGGGGCCAAACCTTCCTGTCTTTCAGCGCCTCGTATTTTCACTGGCAGCTGGACCCACAGAAGAGCAGCAGTTTTGAACTACCAAGGTGTTTTCTCTATTCTACTTCAGGCAGCAGTGCTGCAATTACACTTCAGAGAGACTAGAGGGTTAGAACGTGGAAACAATCCATAGAATGTGTAGACAACCTCAGCTTGTTTCGATTAAATCTGGAAAAAAACTGAATCCCAAATTCCAGCTACAATAACCTCAACCAGATGCAGACAGACATTCCAGCTCATGGATCCTTCTGAAGAGACAGCACTGAAGTACTGCAAGAATAGGAATACAGGAGCATTTTAAATGCCTTGCTAGTACTTAGCTTCAAACAGAAAGACTGCTCTTTATTGTACATGTTATTCTCAGTTTAGGTTTTGGTTCTGCAGCTTGTTTTTTTTTTTTAAACTTAAAAAAAAAAAAAAACCAATGTACATACTACTTCTCCACATCTTTTAGCAACAGCAGAGAGAGTAAAACAGAAAAGCAGGTTCTAAGAAAGTTTTCAGGTGTGAATGCCTAACGTGACAATTCACAGTTCTTCAGTCGCCCAAATAATTGTGCTGATCTGACTTTTTAAGCCAGTGCTGCTTTTGAAGTCAGAGTCAGATGGCAGTAAATTTATTCCTCAGTCCTCAGTTTTAGCCAATCACTTACAATCATCTATCTTAACTACAATACAGCCAGTTATTTATGCTTTTCCCAGTGAAAAATATATTTACCTCTCCTGCTGCACTTTCCCCCCTCTCAGTGATTTCTTTTGGGGGTTGGTTTCATGCGTCTTTGGAAGATCTGCATCAGTGAGCACCTGGTTTAGGATTCAGAGATCCTGTCACACTTCTCCTCTGGAGAGCACCAGCCTTTGCTGCTCCACAGTCCCCGGGGCTCACACCATCTCTACCAGCGTCCGCATCCCGGGTGGCGCTCAACCGGGATCCTGGGGCTTGCTCTGCTGCTTTTAAGGGACCCAGGCAGGCAGAGGACAGCTTCTAGCTTTAGCCTTGTAAGGAAGATGAAATAACTGGGAGGTGGGGTTGCTTCAGCCAGAGAGCAATGCTTTCTCCTCCCCTTTCTTCTCTCTTAAGGAGGCTCTCCGTAGTTGTGTTGGGTCTTTGCAAAGACGTTGTTCAAGGTGCTCCCTTTGGAGTGAGGGTGGGAGCATAACTTCTAGATGAGGTTACTCGATACAAGAGACACTTTTGATTGCACCACTGAGGTAGGAACAGAAGGTGTTAGCTTCTGTTCAAGATGGAGCCTACAAGATGGACTCTTGTAGTGTCGACGTTGGCCAGTCATTTCCACGCAGTAGCCATGTCCTGTAACTGCTGCACTCGAGTGGGTGGCTATCACACTTCGACAGTGGGCCAGTCCTCAAAGTTCAATCCTAAGTGCCGGAGGTGATTAACAAAGAGAGCTACAATGCAGGGCTTAAGCAAGATGCGCTGCTCACGCAGCTCTTAAGATTCCCCAAAACTATGAGTAGTCCGGTTAAAAAAATTGAAACAAGTTTGCTGATAGAAAACAATTTGTCCCAACAAAAGTCTCCTGCAGGAACATACCCATTTCATTTCAATGTGTTAAAGAAAAGAAAAAGATTTTAAATAGTTTAAGTAAAAAAATTCAATTAGTTCCAATGTATTTAGAAATGAATTTCAACATCAGTTTCTTGTTGCAGCATTATCATATCGACACCACAACTCTCAGCTTTGTTTCTGTTTGTACCAATTCAATTCCATAGGTCAAGTAGAAACGTTGGCTTTTTAGGTTCTGATTTGAAACAAAAGAAGTTTTAGAAACAGAAGCGTCCTGCAGAAAAGAAATTCCACCACCGCCAACCATGAGTTGTTCCCAATAAACAACAAGTTGTAGATGACTAACTGGGCGCATGGCTTGTTCAAAATACAGCCTTTCCAAAAGCAGATCAAAAGCAACTGGTAACCATCACCATCTCTTGCCTATTGCCTCTGAGAAAAGACTTGAGGCACGTACATCTCTCCAAGGCATTGATTACCAAAAATAACAAGCACAACCTGCACACTACTGCTGGTCTCAAAATCGAGGAATAAAAAAGAACAAACAAACTGCATGTAAAACCTGGTTGTACAATGTATTGATTAGTCTGGCCACAGTCCAACACAAAACTCATGCACAGGCTTAACACAGCGTATGTTTTGGTCTGCCGTTCACTGGACCACTTAAGAGCGCTTTGTTCTTTTCGGAAGGAGGCTGCAGTCAAGTGTGTTCTCCCTCCAGATGCACATCCACGTTCTGAGCTGGCTTCTCAGAAAGAAGGGTTAGACACACGCGTATCCAGCAGAAGTCAGGTCAGAACCCTTGGGTTAGCTTTACATGACCATGTTAAGCTGGCAATGGAGCTGATGGTGCCTCTTCAGCACCAGAAATATTTGCTCAACGATTCTCTCAGAAATTTTTTGTTATCTGCTAGCCTTCCTCAAATTTAAATGTAGTCACTAAGACAGAGACCCATCCCACAGAGGCTGAAGTCAAGACTCCAGAGATTCTGTGCTACTGAGCCATCCCTAATCCACCCTTTTTTGCAGAAATGTGGCCTATGGTCTCTCAGAAAGTGATGTTTTTGCCTTCATAATTCTGACAGCTGCAAAATCATTATAAATATGGCTTAGCTTCCTGCAGCAGCTGATGGCTTGAAATAGTAGCCCTGCTTAAACTGTCTCCACTCAGTAGAGCTCTGGAACAAAGATGAGTGCTTAAATATCACCATTGCTTAACTAATGATAGTTTTGCCAGAATCGAGGCAAATGTGTTAGTACCACAGTGCCTTCCAGTTCTCCTCGGGTGCCAAACACATCCCACATGTTCCATACCCGACTGTCACGGCATTCGGCATCCCGCTCAACTTCTACCATGCAGCATGAGTCAAATATACAAAAACTAAAACATGACGGCTGTGCATAATAAGCCAGATTTTGTATCAAAAAACAGGGCAGCTATTCTACTTCTATTACTTATCTTTGCACTAAAAGATACCACTGTAAGTACAGTGCATGAAACCACAGCATATAGCGTTCAGCTGACCACAGAAGAACACTTGGCCAGTGTTACAGGCCAAGGAGCTAGCAATATAATCTGAGCTCCTTTTTCCATAGGATGTTTTGGCTACATCATTTAGACGCTACAACGTTTAGAGGCTTGATCCAGACTGGAAAAATCCTTGTGGCAAAACGATATTAGTAAACAGTGCAGAAAGAGCTTATATCACCCCAAAACACCGCTGCCAGTGTATCTACTCTACTCATGACAATATTCAGGCTGGAACAACAGGATCTACACCACAGTTCCTGCCTATCTCACATGAGATGGTGAGAAGAACTTGGCACATTTCTTCAGTAAAGCCAAGGCAGCACAGAGATATGACTACATTTTCTAAATACATCAATAGGAAGCAAACCCTGGAGAAACTGCATCAGTGAGAAGGCAACAAGCAGCAGAAGCTGTCCACAAATACATTTAGACTTGATATTAAATAGTTTAACCGTTAGTAAAGCTCTGGCAGGGCCTTTGAAAAGTTATAGTGGAGGCAAAATAGTCAGCTAACTTTAAGCATAATAAGCTTGTGAAAGGGACTGCATGATATGGTTTCCTGTGATAGCACGAGAATAACCTCGAGTGACCCAGGAGGTCATTTCCAGTCTTGCGTTCATAAAGCCCGATTTCAATCTGACACAACCACGTATTGTTTCGTTTCACCTCCCGGTGGTGATCCCAGCCATTTCACACAGACCTACAACAATTTCAGCAGAAACAATACATAGGTTCACGCAGAATAAGGGCTCAGAGAAGCAGAGAGACCCAGAAGAGATGCACAGTTAACAGCTGGGCAACCTGGGACAACCCAACTACCCCCTGACTGCTACAAGAGGTTTCCATTTAGAGATAAGATAAGCAAAACACTGGCACTGTAATCAGACCAAAGCCCTCTATCAAACTATCCTTGAACTTTCTTCTGCATCATCCCAACACTGGCTGATTACCAAGCCAGCTTTAACATACCATCTTAACCTCACTACCTCTCCCTGCCTGATTTTTGCAGCAATACTTCAATTTTGCATGTCTGAAGTTACCATTTATCACTGCAAAAGCATGTCAAGCTTCAGGTTGCAAAGCCATACAGGGAAGAACAGGGAGGTTAGAAGAAACACTTATTTTTAAACAGGAAGATTTTGCCACTTGCAACAGGAAAACAATACATGGAAGCAGCTGTTTAACAGGACCCAAGCAAAACAGTGAGATTTTTTGAACCCTCCTCTCATAACTGAAGGACTTGATTCAAAGTCTCCTGAAACCCAAATAGTTATTTATATTACTTGAGTGATGGGATCGCCTTGGAGCACCTGTCCTGGAAGAGGATTTTGTGGTGCCAAGTGTCATATGCCAGAAAAAAGAGCCTGAGCCAACAGTGACCTTACCTTTAGATAGCTCTCCTTCACGAGGATACAGGTCTAACGATTTAAATGCATCAAGTTTAGTAACCAGTCTGTTCCCTAGAACAAGTTTACGAATACCCGTTTCTGACATAGATTATCACTAACACCCAGCATTTTCCTCTCTTAACCGACCGCCACGCTCGCTACCACTGTTTATAGACACAACCTCCTTGATACTACACGTCCTTTGACAAAGGTAGGCACTGTGAACTCCAGAACTGACACACAAGCATACTGAAGGGGAAACTGTAGCAGGAATTTAATATTAGTGAGCAGCGCTACAAGGAGAATCGTAGAACATCTCCATCTGTATTCCTGAATCTTACTCTGGAAGCGATTGCGGAGAAGAGGGTGACTAACTGTTGTTACTCAGGTACCCAGCCAGCAAGTGTCCTTTGTGAAACAGTAGCTTGTAGCTAAATCTAGAACTTTGATGAGCCTGCTTATCAACTTAGGAACGTAACCAAAGAGACACAACTGTTTTGGTTATTATCCTACCCTCTAGTTTTCTTTAAAACGACACGTTTTACGAACACATCATCTCACAAGCCAGGAATAAGGCAGACACACAGAAGAAATAAGTTTTAAGCTGTTCAACAGCCATAGCTTCTTTTCAAAACGCAAAGAAAATGTTTACGCACCGCAACGCTAAAATATAAAAGGCAGAAAAACTAATGCAGTCCCTATCCCGGAGACAGCAAAGAGGATTCTTCCTTTTCAGGCTCTACGCCACAGAAACAAATGATGTACCTTCGTCTCGTTCTAAGCAAAGTCTGGGAATCAGTTCACACTCCCATGTAAGCATATACACACCAGACGGCTGGAGACAAACAGGGGCCTCTATTCGTAATGATCCTGAAATCTCAAGAGCCTCAGGTGGGTGCAGGCACTTTAGCACTGGCTCAGCAGCATTTATGAGCTCCGACACATTTATCTACTACTTCGAGCCACATGCTGGAAAATAGACATGCCCCATACAGACAAATGGATTGGTGGATCTGATAACCACAAGGCAGGAGACTCACTCTGCACACCTCTTAAGGTCCTAAACACACCCCAAAGAACTAAGACTCAAATTTTACATATTCAGGAGGTAGCCCTACTTTTAATTAAGCCCTTACTGACTTTCAGAAGTGAGTTTCAGAAGTCCCTTTTCAGAAGGGCTTAGGCTCTTCAGTCTTAGCATCTAGTACTGGGCAGGGCAGTACCTATGCTTTTTAAAAAACTGCCTTTTCAAGTTTTCACACAAGGAGGCTAAGTGCTATCTCTGCTCTGCACGTATCAGATTCCAAGCACATGATTACGTTGCATGTGGTTGATGATGCCATGCGGCATTTCAGCCATTAGGACTCTCAGTTCCACCCTGAACACCAGCAAAGCACTTCTACACATTAGATGCAGTCAGCGCTTGTGGGACTCCACGTAGCCAAAAGTTCTCTTGGACTGCTTTTGGCTAGCAAGATTTAACCCTCCTACTCAGAGGGACAGCAAGACCTTTTTTTTTTTTTTTTTTTTTTTAAA